CTGATTGCTTCCAGCTCCCTTTCAGCTGTTCTGTTGTCCTATTATTCTGCGATTAGGAGTTATGCAACGACAGAAGGATAATTTATTTTTACAGGCAAGACCTTTTTAAGTAGCAGATGTATTTGGGTGGGTTATTTTATTTTATCAACATTGCGGAAAAGCAGATTCTGCCACCCCATAAACAAACACAAAAAAAGAGTTGAAAACCACTGGAAAGGAGCTGCACATCTGCACCGCCCACGAGGCCAAAAAGCAGAGATAAAAGACTGTACTTAGTGGGAAAGGGCGTTTAAAGTTGGCCAGGTAAACAAAGGGAAGGGACTTTATTTCTTTGCCCCCCTGCTTTGAGAAAGGGGAATCCCTCTCCGCAGAGAAGGATGAGGACAGCCTGTAAGAAGCAAAGCTCAGCTGGATCCTGGACTAACTGGGGAGATGGACTAACACGGCGGGAGATCCAGGCTTGCCGCCGCCTGAGAAGGCTCAGGACTTGGACTAAGGACTGCGAAAAAGGCACGAGGCTCATAGAGTGGTAGAGAGGACGCTCCCACTTCCCTCACCATAGAGCTTCTGTTTGAAAAAAAGAATTAAAGCTCTGCAACTAAGGACCAATCAACCAGCGCGGTGCCCTCCCAACACCGCGTCACAACATAGGAAGAAGAGATCTGATTAAACACCACTGGCAGCGCTCTGAAGTCGTATTCATTTTCCTCGTACATACCTGCCTCTTCACCAGCTGTTCCATGCCATGTTTTCTTTCTTTTTCGGAAAGGAGAAAAGGGAGAGGCGTACGGATTGGAATCAGCAGCTGGCATATTCGCTCATGGATGCTAACCCAGTCAGCTTTTTGATGATCTACGTCACTAACAAAATAAGGGAAGAACGGTACTTTTGTTTGCTTGGGAATGACGATTCCGGGCTTTCACCTCAAGAATCACCCACAGCAGCCACCAGCCCTTAGCCTGCTCACACAGTCCCGAACACATACTCAATATTCCCGAATGGGAACACAGTGCTGTCCTGCCAAGCCACCACGATTCTGTATGTCAAAACCTTACTTCAATCACTCTCAAACCTCCTGATACAGTTAGGTTTGAGCAAATGCCTGGCTTTCAGCACTGCGGTACCCAAAAAACCCCAAAGCCAAACAAACCCCAAGTCATTGTGAAACCAATGAAGCACATAGTTAACGCGCGACTTCACCGAGGTCCCCATGTAAGCGAAGATATTTGTGCAAACAGCCAAAAAGCTCATTGTGCGGCTCTATTTGATGTGGGCACCCTTGGAAGCGAGGAGGAATGCCCCGGCAGAGCGATTGCTGAGCGTGCCCACCCCAGTTCCTGCTACCCTGGCTGCTGAACTTCGTCCTGGGCCTTGGCCCTGGCTCCCTAGCTCCATCCCAGGCCTCATTCCTGTGCCCTGAGCCTTGACCTGGGACTTGTCCCTGTGTCCTGCCCTGTCCCTGCATCCCGAGCTGCACCTCGGGTTTTGTCCTCATCTCTCAGCCCTTGCCCTGGGCCTGTCCCTGTGTCCTAGGCATGGGACTGCCTCCTGGGCCTTGTCCTGGGCCTCCTCCCTGTGCCCTGAGCCTTCTCCTGGGCCTGTTCTGGCCTCCTGCACCTCATCCTGGGCCTCCTCCGTGCACCCTGAATGTTCTCCTGGGGCCTGTCCCTGCCACTTGCCCTGTCCCAGGCCTGTTCCTGCCCTCTGTGCCTCCTCCCTGTGCACTGAGCCTTCTCCTGGGCCTGTTCCGGCCTCCTGCGCCTCATCCTGGGCCTGTTCTGTGTTCCCTGAGCCTTTTCCTGGGGCCCGTCCCTGCCCCCTGGGCCTCCTCCCTGTGCCCTGAGCCTTCTCCTGGGCCTCTTTCTGCCTTGTGCACCTCATCCTGGACATGTTACAACCTGCTGCGCCTCATCCTGGGCCTCCTCCGTGTTCCCTGAGCCTTCTCCTGGGGCCTGTCCCTGCGACTTGCCCTGTCCCAGGCCTGTCCCTGCCCCCTGGGCCTCCTCCTTGTGCCCTGAGCCTTCTCCTGGGCCTGTTCCGGCCTCCTGCGCCTCATCCTGGGCCTCCTCCGTGTGCTGAGCCCTGTCCCGGGCCTGCTCCTGACCCCGGCCCTCGCCCTGGGC